GGGAACTTCAACATCACTTAACCTCCTGATCTTTAGTGTCCTTACCTCTATAATTGAAATAAAGACTCCTTCTGGCTCAGACTTGTAAACATGGCAGACTGTATATAAAACACCAACGTCTCTTAGGACACAACCTGAACATTCAATAAGGTAGCCATGATTTTTCCTAAATCAGAGAACATCCTGACATGGATGTCTTAAGAGGTGTTAGAATGAATTAGGAAAAGAAGTCTAAGGAATAACTTTTCTTGAAATCTCTAAAGATAGTGTTAGTGTTCAGTTTCCATGTTGGCTTAAGTTGTCCTTCCATTGAGATAGGAACTAAAAAACTAATGGCAACATTTTCCACAGCTGGGAAGATGTATTCCACATGTACCCAAAGAAACACTATGTTTTGTTAAAAAGCAGAAAGTGTTCCTTTGTTCCTATTCCTAAATATGGTACATTGAAGAATGTACATTCCACTTAAACACGTGTCCAGAGGCATGGAATTAATGGAACTTAATCGGAGAACAGGCTGCAAGGGAATCAAATCTGTGTCATTCCTTTCTCACCATTTGCCATGAAGCACATTTGTCTATTTCTTTTTTATTTGTTTTTTTTTTTTTTCACTGTGGCCAAAATAAAGAACAGGGGACATATGGGAATTGTTTCCTATCTTGGAACTAGCCAGATGGAAAAGTGTAGTCATGATGGCCTCCCTAAGAGGCAGAAAATATTACCTACAACACCTGAGCCTCTTGAGTTATAATGAAAATACATTTTGGAGTCCAGAGTAGTCCTTGCTTAATGACTCTGAGTGCCAGTCTCATTATAATCATAAGACTAGTTTCAACAATAAGTATGTATTTAACTGAAACTTTCAAATTGGATGTTTTAAAAGTTGAAAAAAAAAGACCCCCAAATTATTGGGGACAAAAATACTTTGTAGAAATTAGGTAAATGTAGATAATGGTTTGTTTTGTTTGTTTGTTTGTTTTTAAAGTATGTCACAGAAGTTTGAAAAGTGATGATAATTTTGTGATAATACAGCATAAATGTATAAATTAATCAACCAACTAATCAATGATGTGACTTATCTACATAGACCCAGACAAGATTGGGCTGGAGGAATGGGAATAGTATAGAAGGAATATAAGACATGGCCTTTGCGCCTAATTAGAGATATAACAACATAAAGATTATAATGATAGGCACAGTGATGGAGTTCACATTATATAGGTGTAGGGCTTTCAGATTTTGGCCTCTTTCTACACAGCTTTCAAAAATGTGTATTTTGCATTTCTTCTGTAGTATTATTCTAAGCTGATTGCTGCTTTTTTCACGCCAGCTTTATCTGAGCCTCTGCTTAGAATTCTAGACTAGCAACTTTCTGTGTCTCTGCTTGTCTGGATCACCTTGTCAGAATAATCATGTTTATCAGAAGTCCTAAACCTTTCTGTATTCTGGACTGCTTGGGTGTATTAATAGTACTTGGAAGATGCCCTTATGATTGTCATAACTAAGGTGTTTGACCACTCCATTCTGTCAATCAGTGTTTAGACATCTTCCGACTACCTCTAAGCTATGTCATGTCAGGAAAATGCCAATTCCTAGTCATATTATCCAGCCACTGCTACTTATTTGGCATTTTTCTTCAACTTCTGGTTCCCTGCCCATCAAGAACATCTTCCAGCACTAAAATTTTCCATATTGTCCAGAGTTGGAAAGATTGGTGATCCAAATATGAGAAAAGAAAACAAATGAATTAGAAGGTCACAAACGTACATATAAAAATTTTCCCTCCAACCTCATAGGCCAGAAAGTCTCTAACTTCAGCATGTGTCAGCATCGTAGGGACACTCTTCGAATATCACTGCCACACATGACTTAAAAAAAATTATTTCCACGCTGAAACTGGTTTGGCTCAGTGGATAGAGCATCAGCCTGCTGACTAAAAGGTCTTGGGTTTGATTCCGGTCAAGGGCATGTACCTGGGTTGCAGGCACATCTCCAGTAGGAGGTGTGCAAGAGGCAGCTGACCAATGATTCTCTCTTATCGATGTTTCTAACTCTCTATCCCTCTCCCTTCCTCTCTGTAAAAAAAAAAAAAATCAATAAAATATATTTTAAAAAATTTAGTTCCAAATAACATGCAATTGAAATAAAAGGCCATCTCCCTTTGCTGTGTGACAGGCAGCTCTTAACCTGACCTGAAAGTCATCAGAGGACCTTTGATGAGATTCTAAGTATCCAAAGTACTCCACAAATTGTATTTTATATTGCATTTGCTTTTATGATATTACATCTGGATGCGTAAGAGGGCCCATTGTTCTCAGAAGATTCTTACAGGATTCATTTACCCAAACAAAGCTTAAGGACACCACTGATGTCTGCAGCGACAGTCAAGCCAACACATTTGAGGAGACACTGACATTGGAATATAGCAGCATAAGGGCTTTACAATTCATAGGACCAATATATAATTCAGTTATCTTTATGGTTATTGGATAATTCTACTTTTACTACATTGACCTTCATAATCTATGACTCCATTCCTTTATGATTATCTTCTGACTTCTACCAAGACGTAGATCGACCAACCAATCAGGCAACAAGTTTTGATGGAGCCCCTATTATAGGCCTAGCATGGAGTTTGCTTAAAGAAGGGCCCCAAAATTGCAGAGTCCCTGCTTACAGGTAACCCTGGGTGGGAACATGGACGTCTAATGCGTTTAAGCCCCACCAGGGTAAGAGCCCTGACTTTCGCCGAAACCGGTTTGGCTCAGTGGATAGAGCATCGGTCTGTGGACTGAAAGGTCCCAGGTTCGATTCCGGTCAAGGGCATGTACCTTAGTTGTGGGCACATCCCCAGTAGGGGGTGTGCAAGAGGAAACTGATCAATGATTATCTCTCAGCGATGTTTCTAACTCTCTATCCCTCTCTCTTCCTCTCTGTAAAAAAAAATCAATAAAATGTATTTTTTAAAAAACGAACCCTGACTTCTGTGCCTCAAACTCCATCTCACGTGTTGAGAGGATCACCTGGTACATCGTAGGAGCACAACTAACAATTATTAAATAAGTGAAGTAAAGGCCTCAGGCGTCTGTACTATAAATGTCATAATGATATTGTCATATAAACAAAATGTCCGCAGTGGCTAAAGCTCTTACACCTGGAGATAAACGAATAAAAGAATAAAAGAAATAAGGGACCCCACTAAGACAGCATATCAGTAAGCTGCAAACTAGCCTCAATAGGGAAATCTAACTGAACTTTCAAACCTTTACACTAGATGTTGGCAGAGAAAAGAACTCAGTTAAAAGACTAGCTGGAAAGATCACTCTCCTTTTGTTTAGCAAGCAATAATGCTGATGTAAAGGATTCAGAAAATGAAAAGCGTGCTGCCCAATCACATATATTCATCATACTCCCTTCAATAAGTGTGAAGCAGACAAGCCCTTACCTAGATTTCAAGCTGATGAATCATCTGCCCCGTTTCACTGAAGCTCAAGGGGCTGATCAACTAAACAAGGAACTGAAACCCTGTCAGCCTCAGGATGCACTTAAATAAGGACATATGTTAAAAGCAGGCAGGTGGTGAGGTTTCCTGAGGCATCCCTAGTTACTAAGTGCATAAAATCCTCCGTCAGTTCAGGAAAAAGAGGCTTTTGATCTCAAAAATCATGAGAAAATTATTGTGTGTGTGTGTATAGATGCTAACTATATCAGATAAACAGAAATATTAGCCATTTCCTATATTTAGGCCATCCATTTATTGAACCTGGGGTCCCTCCTATTCCATCATCCCTATGGAAACACACACACACATCATCACACACATTGGAAGAAAGAAAATTCCTTCTTCTGGGGAAACACCTGTCTTGGGGATACTTAGCTGTGCAGCTTCTGAGCCTGCATAGGGTCGAGCATACAAATGGTGCAGTGACTCTTTGGAAGTCACATTTGTCCCTGAAACTTCAGTCACCTGGAGACTGCATGCCTCATCGCCCGCAGCAGCTCAATCCTGACAGTGTAGGATGAGTTTAGAAATCTCATTGGAGCAACCCAACTTGAATTGAGCATTTAAGCAGCACAATACTTTTAGTGCTGAAATAACCACCCTTTGCAATTTTTTGCTGATTGTGGACTTTTTCTTTTCTTTTGCTATTATAATAATCTTTCCTTGGTTTGCATATTTTCATGGAAAGACGATAACAGGGCTCAGTAAACTGGTACATCAGTTAGCTGCACATTCCCATTTTCACCCAGAGAAAACCCCTGCTCCTTTGGCTATGCAAAAATACAAACACACAATTCCTGGAATCCCAACTGCTTTCATACCCACTGCTCTCAGACAGACTCACACCGGGCGCTGAGACACAAACTCCCTGCATGTCAAAAATCAAGCCAAGTTGAAGATGCAAATTGGTGGATATGGTGCCAGGTGGATGTGTAATCAGTAATAAGAAATACATTGAGCCCCGTAATGAAAAGAAATCCCCCCAAATTGTTCAGAACTCCCCCTCCCCCTTCCATTCACTGATTTATTAACCCTGAACAAAGAGGTAATTGCAGGGTCTCAGAAATAATTTGTTTCCCTTTTTTTTTCTTTTTCATTTTTTGGCATTTGTTTTGTTTGACTTTGAATATTCTTAATATCTAGTCATACCATTCATTGCCTGTTTTCTTCACTCAGTTGCCCATCTTTCCCCCCACCAGAATGAAAGAAGCATCCGCTTCCGAGTCTTAAGGATGAGTGAGACCTCTGCATTTTCTTTGCTTGTTTAGGGCAAGAAATGAAGTGCTGCCTCTTTAACTGGCAGAAGCATGCAGGAGGAGCATACCTTTAATTTAGTGTTGGGATACCTCACTTGCACCCTGGCTGTTGTCTTATTGGAGACGGCAGCCTGCCTGAGATCCTCTAGCACTGAAATAATATCATCCAGCACGCATTTCTTATCCTGATTTCTCAACACACACAGATGGGAAAAAGTATAATTATAGCCCTTGTGGTTCACCTTCATTTCCAGCACGGCTCGGTGGGTCTGCAGGATCCCCTCCGCATGGAGCAAAATATTGTCCCCGGGCTGGGAGAGGAGGATCAACCTGCCATACCTCCCGGGGGTGTGCAAGTCCGAATAGAGCTGGCTTTTGGACTGGTCCAGGGGGAAAAGGCTGCCGGCCAGGCTGCGCTCGATCTTGGCCAGGCTGTGGCTGGGAGCGACCAGGCGCTCCAGGTCGCCCTCGGGCTGGAAGTGGTTGAGCACGCTGAGGCCGAAGGTGATGGTCAGGACCGCGGGCACGGTGAGGAAGAAGACGGGGTGCCGGCTCACGCACAAGCCCAGCCTGTGGCAGAACGACTGGAGCCCTCTGCGAAGCACCTGCCGCAGCAGCATCCTCCACCAGATCCAGCTTGCAGGACGCTCCTGGCCGTCTTAAAAAGCGCATGTGACACGTGTAAGCACCAGGCTGCCCGGGTCTCCCGCCCCGTTGGGGACCAAACCCTCCTCCCCCATTCCCACCGCTGCCGCCCCCTTCCAATGCGCTCACCCAGGACCTCTCCGCCGGGTCTTCCCCCGGCCCCACCTCCATGCGCTCCACTACTCTTTCAAACACTGCAGCAAGTTGCAGCGAGTGAGGCGGGTGAATAGCGGGCGCGCTCTGCGGGGGCGCCGCGGGGGGACCCCCCCTCCCCGGCGGGCCTCCCCGCGCCCTGCCCTCCCGCCTCCCCGGGCCCCCTCTCACCGCACGAGCTGCGATCCCTCCCGCGGACTAGCCCTTCATCTCGCCGCTGCAGTCCCCCGGCCTCCCGCTCAGGAGGCGGCTCGGTGCGGAGCGTCCCACCGATGTGGCTCTCCTCTCCGTCCTGGCGGCGGGGTTTGGCGCCGAACGGGAACCATGTGCCCCGGTGTTGTAAGAAGCAGACATGTGCCCCACACACAGCGGAGGGAGGAGGGGGGGTGCGGGAGGGGGCGTAGAGGGGGGGGGAGTAGAAGGGCGAGAGGGGGAAGCAGCTAAGCTTTTTCTTTCTTAAGAGGCTGACCGTTATTTTTAGAGTTGTGTTTTCCCTCTTTTCCTCCCCGCTGGAGTGAATGGGAGAGGAGATGGGAGAAGGCGCTGCCGCTGACCCATTGGAGCGGAGGCAATTAGAGCCCGAGCCAGGCGCGCGGGGAGGAGGTGCAGGGAGGGAGCTCCTGAGGGCAGGCGGCCAGTGGTGCCCCCCCACCCCCCTCCGGCTTCCCTTGCCCTCGAATTCTGTTTTTTTTGGCAGAAGAAAAGGAGCGAGAGGATGATGCTGCATTTTTAGCATGCCACAAAGCATGCAAAGGATTCCTTGCAACCCCACGCTGTCAGCCCACAGACCATCATCAGCTGCAGCCAGGGCTGCCAGAGACCCCATCCTGCGGGCGGTGCTTTGGGCTCTAGGAATCCCTTCCTGGCTCTGGGCATTGGAGAGGACACAATTGCCTAGAGCAGCCTTGTGTGTGTGTGTGTGTGTGTGTGTGTGTGTGTGTGTGTGTGTGTGTTGGAATTGAAGATCTACATGCAGTATGTGGTTTCTCATAAAATATCACGTTCCCATTCTGTACTTTTGAAGTTTAGGGGGGAAAGTTGTTCAGAGCTGGTTTCAGCCCTCTTACCCCATCTTCTCTTTCACCTTGCATTTCGGAAACCAGCGGGTTTCTAGCCATCTGATTTATGCTGAGATGAAGGGGAATGAACGGCTACCTAATATTCTCCTGTGAGTAGAATTCAGGGGGGGGGGGGCACACATTTTGGGACATTCCTCACTTAGTTTTTGCTTGATGGGCTAGATGGGTGGGGGAAGTACATTGGAGTCCTTGGCTGTGTAAAACAGCGAGTCACCTTCACCATGGAGGAAACAAAACTCCCTCTGTACATAAGAGTGTGAAGGTGAGGAACTCTCACCTGCATCAGATCAACCTCAAAAACTTGCATGTTAATAAGCTTGTGTGTGTGTGTGTGTGTGTGTGTGTGTGTGTGTGATTTCTTACCTATCAGGGCTTTCACAAGTTCATGTTCTGGAAAGCTTGGGAAGAAATCTTGAGGATAAATTCTAAAGTCTGGAGACCTGCTTTCCAAAGCTTCTCTTCTCTTTGCCTTGACTTCATATACCGTGTTTCCCTGAAAATAAGATATCCTCCGAAAATAAGACCTATTTACAGGTTTCCTTCTGAGTGAAATATAAGGCATCCCCCCAAAAATAAGGCCCCCCCAGGCTAAACATGAGAGATTTGGTCCACTGATTCTGAAAGAAATGGAGTCACAAGAAATTCACCAGGAAATTCAGGAATTGGATTGTTATGATGTTGTTCCAGAAGATGATGACATGATTGTCATTGAATAAATGAGTAAATTCTTGATACTGTAGGATTCACAGTTTGTCTGGTTTGTGTTGACAACTACCATACTACCGTACCATATACAGGTAATACATTTCCTTTATTTTCATTTAACAATAAATGTGTACCATATTCTTCTTCATGGAAAAATAAGACATCCCCTGAAAATAAGACCTAGCGTATCTTTGGGAGCAAAAATTAATATAAGACACTGTCTTATTTTCGGGGAAACAGGGTAGAAGATTTAGTTTCAAGTGCTGATTTCTTCACACCTTCTTAACAACAGTGGAATATTTGTTCTTCATTGGATGCTTAGAGAGGTACCCTTCCATGCGTACAAACCAAAGGACCCATCCTTTTAATAAGTCAATGGTTTTTATTATATTTTTGCTAGTGGAATCTATTCTTCCATTTTTTAGAGACCAATGAGACTTCAGAGAGCTCAGAATCAGGGGCTGTATTTGCAGGCAATAGTCTACAGGGTGGTGTTGTACCTAAAATTAAAGGAAAATTCTAGCCTTTTAAAATTGAAAATGAACTTTGGAGGCCATCAGTTTGAGTTTCTACCAAGGGAAGGTGCTTCTGAATATCCCTGATGATTCTCCGTCGAGCTCTTGCTGCAAAATTCTTCACATACAAGAACCCACTCATTTTTCTAGAAAGCCCATTCTATTTTAGACACCCCCTTTCTTTGCGTTTTGCTGAACTCAATCTCTTTGCAGCATTTATAGGCTAGTCCTCCCTCTCCTTCAGTGGGAAGCGTCCCCTTTGCATAACTGTTAGATCTTCATGTCATTTCACATAATGTATTCCATTAGTGCCACATGATATTGATAGATGTTGTTTTTGACTATACAGCAAAGAGGAAATGTATCTATCATCTATTTTCTCCACCCTCTTTATGATGTTAAGTACGTTTGGCCCTATCCTATACATAAAATTGTCTTAAAAATGGTCTTTTTGCAACATATATATCATTATATTTTAGGCATGGACAGTTGAATAAAATATGCAGTTCATTTTATAGATAAGGACACTAAGAACTGGAGAGGTTAAGTGAAATTAACCACACTTCAAGTTATATGCAAAGTTAAAAGCAGTGTTTAGATCTCGTTTCCCCTGGCAACACTGGGCCAGGCCCACCCCTCAGAGGAGTAGTGGACAGGTATTTTGAAGAATGCCCTCAATTGAGAATTGTTTGATGCTTGTCTTATTAGATTGGAGTTAGGAGTTCTGGAGGAATAACACAGAGGTAACGTGCCGTTTTTATTATATTATATTAAGGGTACATTCTAGCAACATGTCTATCACGATTGCATGCACCTGATCACCTGCCTGTGTAGTGTTTGTCAACTTCCTCCGCTGTAAAATCACTCTTCTACTCTGCTTTCCATGGGGTCGTCTTTGGAAGGAAGTCACTATGGGAGCCCACACTTAAGGAGTGGGAGCCATGCCCCTCCTCCTCCCTCCTTGAGGATGGAGTCTACATCAGTTATTGGAGATTCTTTGACAAGGGAGATCTGTCCTATTCTGTTCTACTCCATTCTCTTCTATTCTATTCCATTCTGCTCTGTTGTTTTCTATTCTGTTTCATCCTTTCAGTCTTTTATTTATATCAGTACTGACTCAAGGCATTTCTAAACATTTTCTTATATTTGGGGTTATACTTCAATACTTCTTTGTGGCTCAAATTTTTCCAACTTTGGCTATTATTGGGAGCTCTTCCCATTGGCTCCTATATCCTTTTGCTGTATACCATTATTACTGGGCACTTGAAAGAAAGTATTCCCTATTTTGTTGCACAATGAGATTTTCAGACTCATCTGTATCTTTCCTCCTCCAGTCCTAGAATCAGCCACTTCTCCAAGGAGCCCTAATTTGTGTTTATTAGGAAAAAGTATTAGACACAAATATCTGTGTGCCTTGTGTGTTTCTTGTTGCAAGGCTATTATTTCTTCTAAGTCCTCTCAGCTGAAAGCAAGGAAATAGGTTATACTAATCTGTGTACATGTGTATCCATAAATAGTTCTTTATATAACTCTTTGTATCTATATTAACCTAAATGTGAGTTTATATTTATGTCTCTAACTCTAAATCTATTTCAACATGGATTATTAATGTCTCTTCCCCTTACTTACCTTTAACCTCCCACTCCAAAGGTGAAAACTTGGCTCAGTGGGTGATGTTTAAATCACTATTCTATAATAAAAACATTATTTGTTTTATTAGAAAAAAAATGTTTTAGAGCAAGTTATTTGCGATTCTTTGACATGGGAGATCTGTCCTATTCTGTTCTACTCCATTTTCTTCTATTCTATTCTATTCCATTCTGTTTTGTTGTATCCTATTCTGTTTCATCCTTTCAGTCTTTTATTTATATCAGTACTGACTCAAGGACATTTCGAATTGATCCTTAATTTTGATACCATACATGGATAATGCTAAGCAGTATTATGCATTCATTAGAATGATAAATTGTATGCCTAGACCATCTGGGCTTATGGCGGGGGTGAGGAGGGGGTGGGGAGAGAGCATGGGGCCAGCCTCCTTTCGAGCACGTGGGAGATTTTGTGGGATTTATTTGTTAGTGTGTTTTGTTTTAAACAAGCTCCCTTACGAAGAAACATGGTATGATGGTGGGAATGTTTGGATGCTGGGCAGCTGACACTACACTTAGTGCTGAGCTTTTTGTATGAAGCAAATTAGTTTCTGAGACCATGTTTTCTGAATGAAAAATAGAGAAATAATTGGACAAAGGGGTTGATTTTCTAATTTGTGATTTCTTCAGACTAAAAACTTTACAATGGTACAACAAAGAAAGTAAAATGATATTTGATATTTTAAACATTACTTTTATTTCAATAGCATACAAATATGTAAGCATTATTCTTGTGACAAGTTTACTATCACTGATAACATATCCAAATGGGGTGGAAATGACTGACCTGAGGAGTTTATGCAATCACCTTGACTTAATAAAAGTTATAAAAAGTTTAGGTTAGTCTTCACATTGATTGATAACTCAAATTCATCCTGTATAAGGCTGTGCATCAAATTTGGCTCATCAGTTCAGTCTCATCACCA